AGCTGGAACCCAGTCTCATCCTCCCTGTTACACCAACACCCACAGCTCTTTGATAACTCCGCCAGTCGCTCCAAGGATTCTCTTAACACATTTCAACACTCTAGCTTTAAGTCTGGATTGAGTTCAGAATAAAAAAAACCTAGCTGATGCTTTGATCCTTAACAAACAACACACATCATTGCTCTGACACACCATGCCATTGTGCTTCATGTACTAGCCAAAGAGGAACAGAAGACAGCATATATCTTTTATATGCTGTCAGTATCCTTTATTTTTTTCTCTCTTCACACGCTCAGTGGTAACCTCCAACTGTGAAATAATACAAAATGTTTAAGCTAATGAAACTCCCAGCAGTTGATCAGTCTTCATTAAGACTATTTTTACTTTAATCCACAAACATATCAGCCCATTACTCTCACCTGAATTACTCCACTCTTTCGCTGTCATTAGAATTTGCTCGACGTGGTGAAAACTTGAAGAGTTAATTAGCTTCTATAGTGTAGCTGGTTGCATTATGTTTCCACATCACCTCACTAAAATCCATTGCTGTGGCATTGTTTCAGTAAGACCCCCTTTGCTTGGGATAATGATCCCACAATGGCAAAAAAAAAAAAAAAAATTAAAAAAAAAAAAAAAATACGGCAGCCAAAATATGGAATGTCTTTGCAGAGAGCATGTTAACATAATAGGCTCGCTGTTATGTGAGATAAGTTGTAGGTTGTGGAGGTTTTATTGAGGTCCTAGGTGGAGCATGGGGAACCATGGCATGGGGCCTGTATTAACTAGTGTAGCTTGGTCATCAAGAAGATGAAGTAGGACTGACCACGTTGGCCTCATTACTGATCATGATGAGGTCATAAAAATCTAGCAGTCTTGATATCTTCCACGGTAAGATCATGTTAGCGTAATGGGATCTTCTAGCATGTAGCTGCATTCTKACAGTCTGTCATCCCAGAAAGGATTTATAAAATGCATTTCAGGTTCAGGAGACTGTATTTATATTCTTAATGTCTATTTGCATTAGGCTTGTGTGGTATGATGGTACTGTGATGTTTAGTGGTATTGAAATATGGTGACTGCCATTAAAAATGATGACCGTATATTAACCCTCTGGAGCCTAGTCACATGACCCATTTAAAACATTCTAGCCAGAAAGTTACACCTCTCTTATACTGTTTTAATTTTTGTTGGAAGTAGAGACTTCAAATTATGCATCCGTTTTTAAATTGTGTTGGTATACCAAACAAAACCAGTTATGATAAATAGTATACGCCACTTTTTTTTCTGGACATGCGGCAGGCAGCAGGAAACACRGTAACGAAAAAAAAGCTCAGTTCTCCGTCAGTCTCATCGTTCTCCTAAGCCAACAAAACATAACCCTCCTGACCTCTTTTCTGACTGAGGAATAGATTGATTTGACAAGTGCCAAAAAATCTGCAGGAAGAAGAAAATTAAAAGATGCGATAGCTGAATGAAGTTCGGCAAAGATGCAGACATGGTGATGGGGTAGTAAATAACTCAAAACACTATAGACGATACCCCCACCCTGTTAATACCTTATGCTGCAGTGTTATCTAAAGATACTATGAAAAAAATCAATACTACCCAACCCTAATATGCATGGTTTGTAAATCTGAAASTAGCTTCAAACATCACCTGCAGGAAACATGTCAACTGGGTAAGTCARCCTTAAATGTGACCTTGAACATGTTTGCGTTCACCCTGCAAAAATAATGTGGTCTTATGTGTCTTAAACTACCTCTCTATGGTGTCATCCTGTCAACTTGTGATGAAGAAACCTGAAGTACAATCATGGCCAGTGCAAAGATAGTGCTTGCTCTGTCACACGTTGTTAACACATTGATATTAAAAGATACATGGGGTGACTGTGGCAGAGTGGTTAGGGGACTCGTCCTGGAACCAGAAGATCACCGGTTTGATCCCCCATCCAGCTGTCTCAGTTGTTGTGTCCTTGGGCAAGATACTTAACCCCAATACCTCTAATGTGCATCCCATCAGCGTATGAATGTGATTGGCACTATTAGTCTCCAAAGTTGATTGTACATGTTAGCTTTGTAGGAGATCTGGTAGAGTGCTGTGTGGATGGTTAAATGAGGGCACAGACTGAAGTGTGAAGCACTTTGAGTGTCCTGGTTGGGTAGAAAGGCGCTATACAAGTACAGTCCATTTACTATTTACATTATTAGCATATTTTCTATATAAAGTAGCAACAATAATCCAAAGTACCAAAGGTGAAATTATGTTGTGTTATTGCAGACATACAAGCTGCTCAGTTAAGTTTTCCACATTTCTTTTTTCAACTAAAAGACGAAGATGAGACTTTCCTAAATGTGTGCATACGTTTGTCCATTTTGACACTTTTACACACCTATGTTTGTCCGTATGTACCATATATCTCCACTGTCCACGCTATGTAGACATACCTGCTGAGCTGTTTGGAATTGACTTGGGCTGGTCAGCATGAGTAAGCAGCCAGTGGGAAGATTGAAGCAGCCAGATGCAGAGGTTTGGGCTACCGAAGATATCATTACCCCAAGCATGTAGTCGACCAAAACAGGAGCCCCCAAGTGGAGTTTCATCAAGGTGGACCCCCACCCGTGTTGAGGGGGAGTGTACCAGTTAAACGGTCGTCCTGCAGTGAGGAGAGGTATTAAGCGGCAGGTGGAAAGAAAACGCATCTCGTGACTGGAATGAGGTGGGAGAAAAAAAAGTGTGCAGATACTCACAGGCTGGCAGACACATTCACACTGTGAAATTGTCTCTTATATTTCCTTTTACTGCTGCTTTTACAACGCAATAGGAAACCATGTAGTGCCTCTCCATGTGTTGACTTGATTGCTTTACATAAAATTTCTGATTTGTCGTTTCTTTTTCTTTTTTTTCGAGTCAGTTTTCGCCTTGCTTTTAGCGCTCATAAAAACATATCTGAAAAGTTCCACTCAAAGGAAATAGTGGGGATATTTTTGGTGCAGGACTTTGACAGAACAAGTTGATGCATGGCCATTGGCAGGGACATCAGCAGTATCTTCATACGGGAATTGGACCGTCTCCCCTCAGTGAGGTAACCCATAAACCATGAATCATGCTCCTTTGCTCCAGACTCCTGCGGTCCCAGGGTCTGACAGTTTGACCACTTCTCAATGTGGTCTCCCTCCTCTCCTCACGCTCCTCCCATCCCCATCACCACACATTCCAACCACCGGACCAGTCACGTAAGGTCAAACAAATAAAGTGGACTAGCAGTTGTGTATTAAGCACCTTCTTTCAAGACTCTACATTGGAAAACGATACATCTACTTAAAACTCAGCATGGAGAATAAAAAAAGAAGACTGTAAATAAGGGTTTACCTGTACTTTTTACTTCATTCACGTGTTTGTTGAAGCAACTCATGGAGCTGCTTTGGCAGTCTGCCTGTCTGTTCCTCTCTGGTCTTTCTTCTCCAAACCAGTGGGTCACTGGTGTTTGGATCTGTTCTCCTCGTTGTTAACCACCAACTTGGATAGAACCCCAACTCTATGCTTAGTCATTTATTATGCACACACAGTATGAAAATTGAAGTCATACATCAAGCATGCTTTGCTGAAAGGAGAGTTTTTTTTTGAAAAAGCAGACATGGAATAGAAAGGATGTACTGAGACCCAATATCATGAGTAAGTTAGGGCCAGGATTTATTATTCTAATGATAATAAAGTGAATGGAGTAATCACCGGTTGCAGTTGTAGTTTCAGCGTTTTGAAGTGCAGCAGTGAGTTTATCAAAAGCTTAGCGGAGCGGGAGTGATAAATGGACAGTTCATCCGGTGCAAGAGTGGCCCTTGAGCGAGTGGTTTTAACAGTGCCCCGGGCCACACTCCAGCTGAGTTAAACACACTCCGATGTGTGTGTGTGTGTGTGTGTGTGTGTGTGTGTGCGCGCAAAAGCCAGACATGACATTTCTGAGGGTGTGATGTAGTCACTTCCTCCCACTGGACTGAGCAACTGTTGTCAGCTTGACCCTGCCAGTTAACCCCTCGCCACCCCTGGCACGGCGGGTGAGGGTTCCGCTGCTGTGCGTTTGGGCCGCAGAGAAAGGCAGATTGTGTGTGTGTGTGTGTGTGTGTGTGTGTGTGTGTGTGTGTGTGTGTGTGTGTGT